TTAATATGATTGCCTGATTATAATAATGATGTGTTCCAGTTCCAATTGCCTAAAAAAATTATTGACTGAGTTATGACCCATAAAAATGTTACTTTCTGTTGGTGGGTGTGGCTAAATGTGATGTCACAACAGGTGGAAAAGCAGATAAATCCATTCCTTCATAGGGGAAATGTTCCTTTATTTTCATGCCCTGAAATGTAATAGTAGTAATTTCAAGATTGGAATCATTAGCTTTTATTATTCTAAGCATGCAACTGCAAGAAAAAGTCAAAATATCACAAGTAGGAGATTTGTGTTGTTTGCTATTTTGACTCTTTTTCTAGCAGCTGCATGCTTAGAATAATAAAGGCAAATGATCCCAATCTTTAAACTACTGCTATTACATTACGGGCATGAAAATAAAGGAACATTACCCCTATAAAGAAATGGATTTATCTGCATTTCTGCCTGTTGTGACGTCACCTTTAGTCACACCTGCACCCACAGACAGGAAGTAACATTTTTAAGGCTCATACACGTATCTTAGTAAATAGTTTTTTTAGACAATGGGAGTTGAAACACATCATTATTATGATCAGCCAATCATATTAAGACCATACAATAAATACCCCAAATTTCAGTGCTTCATTGAGATTAAATGCTAGAAAGCATTGCAAGCACTTGTAAAAATCTGCTTAGAGCACTTTTAAGCACAAGCACTTAAGTGCTTCACTCATCACTGGTACAATGTAGATGTAGAAGTACATTTATGTGACAATGCAAAACAGAAAATACATGTACATGTAATTGTTCACTGGTAAAGTGAGTTTTTTTTTGTATAAATGTAGTGTAATGTACAGTAGGTACAACGTACAAGGTGTACAGCAGGCATGGTGAGGGAATGGAGCCTACATGTATATTAATGTGTTACAATCCAAATGGGTGTAATATCTATGAAATAATATACACGAACATGTACATGTACTTGTCGAATCAGGCACAAATGTACATGTATAATACAGTGTATTACTATTATCTATATTTGTACATGTACATGTAGTTGCATTTCTTGTATGATACCAGAAGTAAAAATTATACATGTTTAAACATAGATGTATATATGTAGGCAGCATTGCTATAAAAAGTACAAGTACACAATCTTACTTTGGTCATCTCAAGATCTTGTCTTGTGGTTTCCAATTCTGTTTTGGTATCATTAGATTTTTGATGATTCTCAGTAATCTAAATTAAATACATACATGTATTACATGTTATGCGATCATACAAAATGTAAAAATATACATGTTGCATCATACAAAAAGAAACATAAAGATAATTAGTATTAAGGAGAGCTTGCATATGTACATGTACAGTAGCTCCTTTAGGGACAGAAAGCTGGAACAGAGCTACACTGTACTACATGTACATGCATTATCATTAAAATAGCTGCCATCCCTCTATCTGCATTTGTACTACAGTATGTGGGTGTATCAAAGGCACCAACACGAGTTTATACAGTGGAGACCACAGCAGGGGTAGTTAGAAGCATCATCTAACTGCCAATTCTGGAAGTTAGATGACAGTGCCTTTCATACACCCACATACTATAGTACAGACCAGATAAACTACAGCTATTTCGTGTTATGTACACTCAGGCTTGTGTATATCCAGTAACCCTCAACATCTGTAGTTTATCTATAATGTACATGTACTGTACATGTATCAAATGTACCTGAGCCTTTGCTTCAGTTAATTCTTTCGTGCTTTTACGCAGCATTGACTTCATTTTTGTAATTATTTCGTCTTTCTGAAACGAATCTTCCTTACAACTAGCTAGAAGGCAAAAGAGAGGTAATTCTGTCATTGAAAAAATGAATCTTACTCAATTCATGAGAGAGTTCTTCATATTTATTTGCCCAGGATGCTACTTCTTTTTCAAGTTCAACTTGCTGCACCTCTTTCTCTTTAACTTGGCCTCTCAGTGTTTCAACAGAACGTTCATAATCAGCCAGTTCAAGATTCATCATTGATGAAACTTTGGCATCTTTTTCAGCCATAGTTAATTTTTGCTTTAGCTCAGCTAGTTCTTCCTTCTCTTTGGCTAATGTTTCATGCAAAATTTCATTTTCAGCTGCAACCTGGGATATTTACAGTAAAATATCATACACATGCATATATACATATAAATATACATGTAAAAAGTTTTTCTATTATGATTCACAAAACATGTAAAACTTTGCAGTAGGTCATTTCTAATCAAAATTACAACGCAAATGCAAATCCTCAAAGCGAATTTAAAAGGATCATAAATAAAGCTACGAGTTAATTAAAAAAAACTTGGAATGTGTTACTACAATAACAAAGTATATTAAAATGTACAATAAAACATTAAAAGATCAGCAAGTAAAAAAAACCTTGCTTACGACATAAGAATAAGAATTAATATTTTCGGAAAAGGTTATACATTATACATGTAAGAAAATTGCATCTGTACAAACATAAAACAATGTTGCCATATCAATGTAGTGATACAAGATTCCACATCATGGCAAGACAAATACAAAGTTTCATACATTTGCCTTGCCATTTGTGCAATTCCAATTTTACATTACGTACATGTATTAAAGTATTATACACGCTTGCACATGTGCAATATACATGTATGTACATGTACACATGTACATGTACATACACATGTAGTACAAATACCTTGAAGCCATTCATACACTAGGAAATGAGTTACTAGCAACATTTGTGGTTAATTAAATATTGATCTTTTGAGCCACCTGTTGCAAAAAAGATTAAATTTTTTTTCTTAGCAAAATGTTGATTATAATCAAAGTAACCACAAAAGTTGTTAGCAACATGTTGCCTGGTGTGTCGAGGGCTAAACAAACCTCATTTAATTTTCTTGATGATTCTGTTAATTGTGACTGAAAATTTAATGAAGTGGCTTTTATTGCCTCCAATTCACTCCTTGATGTATTATGTGCATCTTCCATCATAGCTTTCTCTTCAGTCAATTTCGATAGCATCAACAAAAGTTCCTACAAAAAACAATTTGTAAAAAGTGTAAGAAAGCAAGCAGAATTTACAATGCTACATGTAGCTCCATGTACATGTAATTAAGGCAAGCATACATGTAAATATATTACGTGCCACATACTTCTTTGTTCTTTTTTTCCTCAATTAACTGCTGACTCAAACTAAAAAGAAAGATATTGACTCTAATTACATGTATTTCAAACTGTACAGAAACAATTTACATCCTGCTGTAGTACAAAATTAAAATGCAAAATTTAAGTGAACACATGCATACTGTACTACATCTACAAGCACACATGTGAGGCCCCAAAATTTTCTGCACGAAGATTGTAACATGGAAAGGCTTCAAATATAATTATGTATTTGGCTGTGTACATGTAGTTTTGCTCACAAGAGCCCTTCTTCAGTGAAAACCTCAAATATGAGCCCCATTGTGGCTTAAAATTGACATAAATGTACAATAAAAAAAATTAAACAGATGATCTGTTATACATTGGAAATAATTGGTGAAAATTTTTTGGAAAGCTGATTAAATTAATATTTTATTGGGTTAAATTACAGTGTACGGTGATTTTAAAAATTTATATGGCAGTTACATGTACTTGTACATGTACATGGAGTAACTTAAAAACAATTGGAGAGAGACTAAATTTCTACCAACTTGTCAACTCTATTCCCTTGGCAATAAATCCCACTATAGTCGGTTTGAGTTGAGTTGCCCAAGCACCACCCCTTATAACTTTTTTATTACTAATGCTAGTAACCTAAAACTTGGTATAGTTGCATAACAGGGTCTTCCGAAAATCTGTACCAATTTTTGAGTCTCTAGGTCCTGTGGAAAGTTCTGAATGGGTTCTTCCGCTCTAGTTCAAAGGGAGTTGCAATGATGATTCATTACCTTCACGCTGCATCACACTCGTGAATATAATTTGCATCTCATCATTATTTTAAGAAAATTAATGCTTTTATTTTATAAAATAAAAGCAGACAGATGAGGTCCTCTAAAGAAGGAGGCATTCAACTAGCAGTCTATACTACTGGGAAACATCTGCTATACCTGTCCACAGCCTTTTTGATCGCCGTTATTCTTCATCACCCTCAACCTAGGTTGTTATCATCCATATTGGAGGTGTTTGTCAGCTTTATAACAGAGAAAAGGTCTAGCCAGTGATAATGAAAGGTAGCAGTATCCAAAGCAAGGATAAAATAGACAATAAAAGGTCTTAGAGGTGAAGAAACGCTGAATGAAAGAGTTTTCTTGCACTCTGCCACCATGTTTGGGTGTGGCTAGCCTAGGAATGACGCTTTGTGATGCAAACATTGATTTACCTTAAGGAGACAATTGTTTGCGGGTATTTAATTTAGCGAATTTTAGTCGATTTTTAAAAAATCACTAACTTAAGTCCGCGCTAATTTTGATTTCCTCATTGAAAGTGGGTGTGGTCACAATAATAAAATGGCGGCCGTCAGCAAGTCTGAGCTTACTTGCAGCAAACGGTCAGCAAGATAATACTAAACTGCTGTCCAAAGACATCTCTAGCAGTTAGCCTAGATTAAAAAAGCAGATGACAATCTTCTTCAATCAGTGACTGCTTCTAACTGTAAGCAAGATAACTTTAGATGCTAATGGCTGCAGAGTCAGTGATGAAGCAATTTAAGCAAGATTAATGCAACAAGAGATACTGTATTAGTGTATTTAGACTTGTGCAATTGCTTTGCTTGCTCATACATGTAAATCACAGCACATAATCTATAACTTGCTTAGGCTCGCCCCTTTAATTCTTCTAGAAGTTATTAATACCAAATGATCAAAAACGCTAAATTAAGTACCAGCCAAATGTCAGTTTCATGAAAATCGCTAAAATAAGTACACGCTAATAATTGTCTCCTTAAGGTACTTCCTGTGGCAACTCAAATGAAACTGACTATACATAATATGATAAACAAACATGTAATGTACTATACATGTACATGTAAGTGTAAGTTGGTAAAATGCTGTTAACAAAATAAATCAACATGGACAAATACATGTACAAACAGACAGATACATGTACATGTACATATACACAAGTACATGTAAATCTGGGATCAAATACAGGGAACTTATCATATTGAAAAACTTACTTGTCATAATCAGAAAGTGACTCATTCATTGAAGATGTCATATCATTAAATTTAGCTTTTTCAGCAATTAAAGCTTGGGTTAATGTCCTCACTTCCTCTTGCAATGGCTTTTCCTAAGTTTGTAACAAAATGGACATAAAGTGTATGCACAAGTACCAATTACAGTCAAACCTGTATTGCTCTGCCATTAAAACAAATTAAATAATAATTCATAATAATTAAAATGTGATGAATGAGCTTCAGCATACACTGCAAATTTGCCATTGATACAATGTACATGTGTATATACATGTACATGTATACAGTATCATCATGTCAAATACACCATTCACATAAATTTCAGATCAAATTACAGTATAAGCTACAGTAAATTTTAAAAATTTGTGTTTAAACGTTGTTTAGACAGACACACCGGGCTATTCTCATAAATATACGCTTTTTTGCTCTATCCTGAAAATGAATATTGCAACATTCTGCCAGGCTATTCCTTTGAAATTTATTTAGCAAAAGCCTAATAGTACAGGAATCGCAGAAATCTTTCACCACGAAGATAAACTGGTATACCTTATGTGCAATTGAGTCTATTCATCAATTCAATACATGTACATGCAGAGCAACATGCAAAATAATTTATAATCCTTACTTTCTCAAGTGACTCAGAGAGTTCTCTTTTCAGTTTTACAGCATAAGCCTTCAGTTTCTTAATCTCTTCTTTATGCACTGCTGTTTCATGACCTACATGTAGATGTCATCATTAATAATTTCAAAGTAACATGTACTAATTAATTATTTACTTAGTTGATTGCTTAGTGACTCAACTTCGCTCCTTAGTGTAGCTACAATGTCGTCCCTAGCAGAGAAATTTTGGAGCTGCTGAGCCAAGTCCTTTTCCAATTTTTCTTTAGCAATTAACAAGAGATCATGATCTTCTTTTAATTCCTGGTATTTCACATTCATTTTCTTATCTTCCACCAGTTCCTCTGAGCCACTTTTTTGATGACTACTTCCTTGAATAGACAGGTGAAGTTGCTCTTTCTCTTTAGATAACCTTTCTACTTCAGAAATTAGTTCATCCTCCCTTTGTTTGCATTGAAATAGCTCCTCTTTAAAGTTAGCCTGTAAAGTTTCTTTATCAGTAACAAGTTGCTTTACATGATTGGTCATCTCCTCTTTTTCATAAGCCCATGTGTCACTTTTTTTAGCTAGCTCTTCTTCTAATGTCATCGTTTGTATTCTAGAGTTGTTACATTCAGTTGTTAATTTCTCACAAGTCTCTTTCATTGAAGCAACATCTTCCAATAAATCCTTCTTTGTACTTTCCCCCTCTTTTATTAATGACTCCAAATCTGCAGCTTTTAATTCCAGTTGCAACTTTTCCTTCTGATAGGCAGCAAGTTCTGTTTCCATAGAAAGTTTTAAAGTGGAAAGCTCCTCTTGTAGCAAAGATTTTTGAGATAATGCTTCACTTAATTGATCATTAAGATTTGATAGTTCAGCCTAAAATAATTGACAAATGAAGTGCAAACTACAGAAGCAAAGTTTCGTAGAACATGCACTACATGTTGACAATATAAATTCTGTGACTAGGAAAATGAGTGACACTAACGTACATTAACACTCGTGTTGCCATTAAAAAGATGAAAACTTCAAGCACATCATCATTATTGTACATGTACATGTACATGAACATTATACTACTGTATAGCAGGTTATTTTCGTGAGTCTAAATTTTCGTGGTTTGCTCCTAGTGGGGCAATTCATGGTTTAATTTTAGTGGTTGACAGCCTGTAAGGGATGGCACTTCAATGATTTCGTGGGCTTAAATTTTGTGGGTTTAAATTTTGTGGGTTTAAATTTTGTGGGTTTAAATTTCGTGGGAAGCCCCCACACCACAAAAACCATAAAAATTAAGAGCCACGAAAATTATTTGCTATATGGTAATTTTTTGTGCCACAATTACATATAGCGTGACATACATGCACATATACATGTGCATGTATGTACATGCATGTACCATTACCATGGCTAAAATTTAACATTTATAATTTCAAACAACCCACATGCAATTAGCAGCACAAAAATACATGTAAATTCTGAGTTCCAAACCTTTTTTTCTTCCTCAACAGATAATACAATTTGCTTAACATTTCTTAGTTCATTCTTCTGCTGATCATTTTCAGCTTTCAATACCTGAATCTCATTAACAAGATGCTACATACAAACAATAATACATGCAGATTATTTCATTACAGAAAAGATACAGACAGAACAGTAGTACATGTACTCAATACTTAGAACACTCAATGTACCTCATTGTCAGTAGGTCTGGATTCATTCTTCAGTTTTGCATACTCTTGACTTATTTCTATAAAAGAGACAAAATGATATCTAGCTGCTTAAAAAAAAGGAAGTGTTGGCCTGCTTCACACAAATTATCTCTCATTTTTCTGTCAAATTTACCATCAAACTTTGACTTCATCTTCTGCAGCATCAGTGATTGTTTCTTGATTTGCTTAATTAGATCATCACGTGACAAAGTCTCAACCTACATGCATATGTACCCATACAAACATTGATTAACTATTGAGAAAGCATCTAAAAAGAAAACTGTTGAGCAACTACATGTATGCTAAGCTTAACAGCTAATCAATTCACAATAAAAATTGTTTTTTTGTAAAGGCAGATTTACAATAATTGCACATGTACAATGTACATGTAAATGTACATGCATGATGACTGACCAGTACATGTATAATAATAAAACTTATAGTCTTGATTAAATTACAGTATTTACAACAAATAAGAATCAAAAATAGAATGCTTCAGTTTAAAAACCTTCATCATCTTGTATCATGCAGAAATCACTGAAATTAAAGGTGGGTTTTCAATATGATGCATTGTATTTTTGTGTGCTTGTGTCATGATCAGGAGTGCTATTAAAAATAACGTCACATTAGCACAAAAAGCAATGTGTGTTATGAGAACCTACGAAACAAAAAAAATAGCAGGGAATCTGAAGAACATTATGCACCTAAGCGTAATGCTTTACCCTAAAGTTTACAGCAAATTCAACTTCAACATGTACATACAATATGTATAAAATCAGGCAAAGCATTATATGTTGTATGCATTATAGTCATGTAAGTACAAATTTCAAGGGTATAAAATAAAATATTGATTTTATGATTGGCTCTTAGTTCAATTAATGCACAGCTGAAAACACATTAAAAAATTAAATTTTGTGAGTTTGCAAATGAATCAAAAATGCAAACATTTAAATCTGCGAATTAATGAAATTTATGCTTGATGACAGTACAATTATGCTACATGTACATGCACAATAACTGTCAAAACCAAAAATTATTCTGCAAATAAAGTTAATTTTAAGGATTTGTAATTTTAAAATGAACTATGTGTACAGTAATTCTAAGAGGATTCAATTACATGTTGTGTTTATGTATTTTCACGCATGTACAGTACATGTACAAAAATATCTGTGGAAAAAACTTGCATGCAATGTGTTTGATGCAAGTTACCTTTAAGGGCATTTTGCATGTATGGGTACATATACAACTGTACTTGTATCTTGTATCTACAGCACAAGATTATAGGTTACTGGTAGTAAAAGAGTAACTTAACAGTACTGAGAACTGAGCACAAAAGTGCGGTGTAGTCTTGAGAGAATATAAGGAAATGTACCTTTTCACAATTGTTTCAGAATTCCACAGACAAAAACATGACTCAAAGTAAAGTCTTAGTGAAGCTGATTGAGTGATTGTAAATTGTCTATTAACCACTGACAATTACATACTAGCAATGCAAATACACCACATACAATGTACATTGTTATATGTACTGTACATGCATCATATCTACATGTACATGTACGTCCTTACAACTACCATATAATGCTTTAATTTGGTGGAGTTTTATTTTGGCGATTGGCAGTTTGCAAGCAGAATCGCCAATATTAAAACCACCAATCATTTAATGCGCATGCTCAGTAACGCACGTGTACACAAAAATCGCCAAATTAAAAACCGCCAATTACAATTTTACAGCAAAATCGCCAAAATAAAGCACCACCAAAATAAAGCGTTGTACGGTGTTTATATCATATTTATGTTATACTGAACAATAATATAATGATGATGTGTACATGTACAATTTAGGTACATGTACGTACATTGTACATGCATTGTATATAAATTAATATTTTCAAACTAATACTGTACAGCTCCATCTAAAATTTTTGAGAATTAGTGAAATTAGATATCGTCGTTAAGAAAGATTTTATGAATTAACTAACACGTGCTGCTTGAAGAATGGCAACCAAGCTTTTGCGACTAAAATTTTTGTGATCATTTAAATTTTAGACCAAAAAAATCTGGAGTTATACAGTATAACATGTAATTCGTAGGGATTAAATTTTTGCAATTTTTGCATTTTGGAAATATTTGCAAAATTAAAATCCGCAAAATAGCGTGCTAATTATATAGTACAAGGTGTGGTATTTATATTAAAATCGTGAAATTTTTATTCGCGAATACAAAAATGCAGCCAAATTGTGAAATTTTATATCTGCAAAATATATGGTGTATACAGTATGCACAGGCTAAAACATGCCAACACAGGATCAAACATAAATTATGGAAGCATACTGTGATTCAAACATGAGCCTATAAAATGCCTGAAACAGTACTATACAGGCAACCCAATTACTACAACCAAGAGTAGATAATAATTAGAGGAAAGTGTCCTACTGGCTATAGGGTCTGCTTCATCACAGCGTAGAATTGAAGAGTCACATTCCGGTTATTTTCAGTATTTTTGAGTAGTTATTAAAAAAATAACTAGCAATAACTACTCAACTCAATAAAAATACGGAAATATCCTGAATGTGACTCTTCAATTCTATGCTGTGATGAAGCAGGGGGTATATGCACAGTAGGACACTCTCCTCTAATTATTATCTACTCTTGCTACAACATACATATGTATACTACAATACTCTTACTATTGTATACACATGACACAACAAGCATAATCGTGTAAAAAATTCCTATAATTGATTTCACCATCTTGCAATAATAACTGGATTTTATTAAGACTTATAGAGGCTCTCTCTACCTTCTAATGCTTATAGAGAAGTCTTTAGACAGTATTTCCATGTTGTCTTGCTGTTAGAAAGCTCTTCACTTTGTCCCATTTTTTTGTCATGTACATTTCATACTTAGCACATTAGTCTTTGAAAAACACACATACATTAATACTTGGTAAGAAATACCCCTAAAATCCAGAAATCCAGAAATCCAGAAAATAATACATGTATGTAAAGACCTCAAAAATTTTATTCCCATTCAGAATTGCACATCCACCTTAAAACTGCCAACATAGACTCCTATACACAGCCTTTTCCAGAGAGCATTTAATTTTTAAAGGTGTGCCATAAATTTCTACAAGTAATTGTACACGTACAACTTCTGACTTTTGCTAAATTTTGTCTGCAAAAATTAAACTACACCATACCACATAAAATACAGATATTGAGTCACATAAATATAAAAACAGTATCAGAAGAGGTGTGACACACTCTTGTAGCTTTAGTTAAATGATTTGAAATAAGGTTTACTAGACAGAATGAAACACATTGAGGGTTCTGAATCCTAGTTACCCTTCTAGTCACACCACCAAAAATACATACATACTTATAAGTAACAGCTTTGCCCAAATATTCAGCCACATTTCTGTGGTTTTCTTCATGTGATTCCAAAAATATGAACTCACTGAAATCTTTCCCTTTGTCGAAGTCATATGTGGTCTATTAGGAGTGGCCTCTTCTGATGAAGCAAAAGCTTCATCCTGACTTTCCTGTCATTTAAAAAGATAAAATAATGCTACATTAAACAAAAACTTACCATGATGAAGTTTGAAGCTAATTCCAACTATCTGACCACACCTCCTATAACTGTGCACGTCACGTCACGCCCATCCTTTGTGCGCAGTACTGCGCACCAGGAGCCATGAGGTTTGTTTTGCGCTGCGGCGCTTGTTTTGTGTACTCTAAAACTCTTCTGGACTTCGAATGATTATGAGATGTTGCTGAGGAGTCTAAACATGTATTGGTGGTGCTGCCTGTTTCAAATTTATCTTTCCTTCTTCGTCAGAGTTGCTCATGGACAAGAAGTTAGCCCACGTTATCACTATCTTATTATGTAGACTAAATAAAATTTGTCAGAATCTGAGCTGTAATAACAATCAATATTCATAGCTCAATTTGAGCTGTAATAACTATAAATATTCATAGTCTTACCAGTATATCAACTGATTGTAAACTTTAACCCTATGTGATTCATAACAATTATTTTGCATGTACTGAGGGAGACCTACATTTACTTGCATCTAGCCTGTAGTTGCCCTCATCACACTTGCGACCTGGCGATTAAGAACTTTTTTAGGAAGTATATAGCATTAATTATGCGGATATTATACGATAATTAAGAATAGAATATAGATATACGACTATTATTGACGGTTGAAAACGTTCGGTTTTATAATGTATCCGGAGAAGGCTTTATGTTATTTCAAGGGTTTAGGTATTAACATGTATAGACCTCTCGAGCTGAGAATTGATGACGTTTAGGCTTATAGAATTAATGTGGTATTTGGGTGGAGTAATTAGAGGCATGCCTTGCAGCCGCCATGTTGGATGGCAATGGCCTGTAGTAAAGATAGCAGATATGAGACAAAGATATCTCTTTTATATGATTCTGGACCAAATGTGGTGGATCCCTACATGATTCCTAAGGAACAATGGATAGATGAGTGGCCCTCATTGGAATTCCCTCTAATATATACCTACCTCATAGACTTTCCTGGCCTTTTTACTAAGGAGATGCTTAAGGCATATAAAAGTCTTAAAGCTTATATAATTATTACCGGTCCAAAATTTCGTGTTTTCTCCAGAATGTCCTTAGAAGCTAATATTCGTGTATACAGATATTCGTGGATGGCAGTTAGCATACTTCTTTTCACTTGGATCTACTGGACTAGCTTCCAACACATGGCTTATAGTCGAATACGGAGTAATAGACAAAGGCTTTGGCTCCTCCACTGGCTTGGAAATGGTAGTTAGAGCTCTGCACGGCCCGTTAATTAGTTTTTATGTGTGGGTGGATAGGGATTAAAATTTCGGGAATAAAAATTAACCACGAAATTAACGAAAATTATTACCCCACGAAATTTACCAACCGTACGGTATATAAGGTTTGAATAAACCAGTAGTTTCATTTAAACTTATTATTTGATTATAGTGGTTGGGTTCATACAGTTTGGCTATTCCCTATTTCTGGCACAAATAATTGTACATTGAAAAAGGTGAGGCCATCACAAAGGACGAATGACAAGCCTCATGAGGCTTGGGTTGGCCTAAAGAAGGATGCTGGAGACATTATTACTGCCCACTGTTCCTGCATGGCAGGGTTAGTAACTTAGTATACTACGTGCATAAATATTTTAATTTATAATTTACTTATAGCCTCGGCGAAACTTGTTCCCATGTAGCTGCCCTTCTGTTTAAGGTAGAGGCATTTCATAGATTAGAACTTGGTAAGGCAAGTTGTACATCTCTACCTTGTGTATGGAACCAGGCATTCACTAAACAAGTAAGTTAAATGCTATTAGTGATGCTTCATTATTATTTCACTAATATTTTAGACAAAACCATCACGAGCACACAATATCCCTTTCATTAAGCCAAAGCATGGTAAATCAGAAGCTACTTTGGCAGAAGAGAGACGGATTGTAAATAGAAGATCGTTTGAATCAGAGATCCCAAAGGTTGGGAAGAATTTACTTGATGCATTGCACACATGTATGGCAAACTCTGCTGTTTTCTCTGTCGTGAATGGTTATGTGGAGGACACTGCTATCAATGGCTTTATTACCGATGAGCATGATGTTAATCTGCCAAAACAGCTCTTTGATTTATACCAGCATTGCCACAGTGAATTACCTGAATCCAGATTGTTAGTTGATACTACTTTCAGCAAGCTAAAAGTGACCCAATTGGAATGCGATTTCCTTGAAAAGTCAACCAGAAATTAGTCCGCCAGCTACATATGGCATGACTATTGAAGAGGCCTCATCACCTCGTCTCATTTTCACTCAGTACTCCTTCATACGGGCAGGACATATCCTGTATCAATTGTTAATGCCCTGATGCAGTATACTCAACCGAATCCTAACATACCATCATTGAAATGGGGTAGATTGCATGAAGATTTGGCTCGTAAGGAGTACATTACGTACATGAAATCAAACATGCATGTTAATTTTGCAGTTCAGTCTTCAGGCCTTGTGATGTATCCCTCGTATCCATTTGTTGGAGCCAGTCCAGATGGATTAACTCAATGTCAATGCTGTGGCAAAGGATTGCTAGAGATAAAATGCCCGTTTAAGTACAAGGATATATCACCCATTTCTGTTGAAGCATTGAATGACAGGAATTGTTTCTTGGAGAGAGACACAACTGGTACAATTCACTTATCGTCATCACATGCTTACTATCATCAAGTTCAAGGTCAAATGATGGTTAAACAACTACCTTTTTGTGACTTTGTATGTGGGACAAGTAAAGTATTACCCTTCTTAAAAGTTTTTTCCTAAAGTATGTCCTACCGGAAGTGTTGACTCATCAACATGACCCTAATTTAGCTGTTTCCTCTACTTCGACTTGTGGTGGTAGCACAGATTCAACTACTGCTGCTGCTAATACAGATACTAATCCATCTGCTATTGATAACACAACAACCATTGATACTAATCCATCTACTGCTACAACTCTAGCTAACTCAGATACTTCATCTGTGAATGCCGATTCAACTAATACCAGCTCCAACAAGTTGTACTGTATATGTCAGAAAGAATCTAGTGGACGAATGATAGGATGTGACAATCCTTCATGTGACATTGAATGGTTTCATTATGCTTGTATCAGAATCAAAAGAGCCCCAAAGGGTAAATGGTTTTGTCCTAACTGTATTATATCTATGTGACTCTTTCTAAATATCAATCTCTCTCAGTACACTAAACTTAACCATGCATTCACTTGTACATGTAAATTGTGGACAATAAATTATTTTTTAACAACAAATGGTGAAAGATTTGTTAATGTAGTTGTAACTATTAATATCCTATTTATGAAACAGTTCTTCTTTTCATTATCAGATCATGATAGTTTAATCATATTAATAGGGAGTGTTTGTTGTAAAATTTTATATTTTTTATGTAAGTGACAAATCACACGTTCGACATGAATACAAACTTGAGCCAAACGTCTTGTTATTTCTACTTCCCTAGCAGATAATTGTTCCTTGCCTTTAGTGAAAGCTGGAATGAGTAATTGAGCCCCACACACTGCAAGATCATCACCAATATTGAATCCACGATCTGCCATTATGTCATCACCAAATTCTACCTTTTGTAAAAGCCAGATTGCTGGGTGATGACCTTATCAGAGACACGTCCTCCCCATGCTTCAGAAATGAAACAAATGGAGCCAGTAGGTGCCACAGTGTTATGCCTCTGGTACTGACTATATGTCTGGGCTCGAGCAAGGAAGTATGTTGGGCATTGAATGAAGATCTCAAAACAATCAATGATACGCCTTGTTGCCCTTGCCCACGCCGTAGGCGTATAGGCGATGGTACTGCGATTGTCCTGTCAGTGTGTGTGTGTGTTCGCAAGATGGCGTCTTCTCTGTTTTCAAATCCTTGCTGCTCTTTGCTCAGGTCCTGAGGAGTCCCACTGTCAACCAAAACACTTGTTAAAAGTTGTTTTTCGTCAGTTTTCTTCTTTATCTGTCTTCTCAGAGGCAGCATGAGTCAGCAATGATGATAAATGTAGTCTGATTTATAAGCAGCTCTCACATGACAAAGGTAATGATGCAATAGAACACATCAAACGATAGATTGAAATTTTTTATTGATTTTAAATGTAGGAAATTTGTCTTAAATTCTTCATTCCTGAGATATGGTAGCTCAAACATTGCTTACCGCAACAGTTTACACGAGGTCCTGTTCTCCTGGAAGATCTGTCAGAGTCTTTTAAACTGTAGATTCTTACTATCAAGTTTGTATACAACAAGTGGAGCCTAATTATTGTGTCATAAACTGTGTGTAAGTGTAGAAAACTGAAGCTTTTTTTACCAGCAACTGTCCATTATGTAACTATGAAGTAGGCAGTGCTTAATTTGAGCCACACCTTTTATTCCAGCCACACCTTCAATTGCTGCAGCAAACAATACAAGGCTGAGCAAGCTAATGTGTACAGTAACAGTAAGTCAGCAGCATTCTCTGAAGAACAAATTAATGTTTCATTTGTGTTTTTGTAGTATCCCAGAAATCATGTGACTGTAGAACCCTGAATTTTAATTAAATGTAATGTGTTATAATGTATGCATAGATTTAATTATTGGTTGTATGTCTTGTCTGTAGTAGATCCCTTCTTAATAATTTGTATTAATGTGAAACTATTTCATAATTTGTGTCTTAGTATATAAATGTTTGATTCTGTTGTTGTTGGTTGATCTTTTGATTGTTAATAATCATATCTACAACAGTAAGTTATACTACACTGATTATGGCAAGGGCATGTGGTATAGTGCACTCGTGTTAATGTAATGCTTTCGAAAGGTGCTTGGCATATTATGAACCAATGCTTCTTTATCTGGCCATGCTACAAGGCATTTAAGTTCAACACTCATTACGTCAATCCACCTTCTAAATATCAATCCAATATATTTTTCATCAACATCCATTCTGTATGCTAAGTGTTTGTGGGGGACACCAAGACAGAGCTTAACAAGTGTTACGAAAAACTCATCAATTAGCTCTATAGTTTTGATACTGTTGTCTTAAAGCATTGTTCAAGTTGTAAGAATAGGGTCAAAATTATCTGGTATGTAACAAGGCTTGTGTAGAAACAAGTTTTGCTGTCACTGTCTTTTATACAAGATGCACCAAATGACTGATGTTTCAATTTTGATTGCAAAATTTCGTTATTCCTTCTCAGAGATACAATTGCTCGATGTGACCCAAAGTTGTGCGATTGACATTGTGACAGTATAACCTTCAAAAGAGCATTTTCATTTTCAAGTTTATGTACCCTGTCTTTTAATGACCTGT